AAGCTCCAGCAGAACCAGGCTCAGGTAGAGCAGCCATCTGCTTTGAGTGGCTGGGGTTTGAGAGGACAGGAAGAAGACATGAACAATCACAGAATGACAGGTCCAGGTTCTATAGGAGGAAAAACAAAAAATCATGTTAAAGATAGAAATAATTACAAATATAAACAGAGCAGAGCAAGTAAAGACAGCAGCAGAGTGAGGCAATGTGGTCAATTTGTCCTCCAGCAGTCTAAGCCTATAGCAGCATAACTAAAGGATAGCTCAGGAAACCCAAGCCGACCCTAACTATAGGATTTATCCAAAAGAAAAGTCTTAAGACCAGTCTTTAAACTGGACAATATCAGCCTCATGGACATAAACTGGAAGTTGGTTCCACAAGAGAGGAGCCTGATAACTGAAAGATCTTCCTCCCATTCTTTTTAAATCAGACACAAGATTCTAAAATCAAATGAGAGTTTTCGTTGGCATTAATATCCACTTGTTGCCTCGGCATTGAGTTTCAGTTATAAATCTGCTATGATCTGATTATTTATTCATCAGTGTGTTCCCACTCCTTTCTCCTTCTAATTAAAAGCCATGCATCACCACAGAGACATGGCGATCAGAGGCATTAATTATTAAGAAACCTTCCGTATGTGACCTTTGTGAGCCAGCTCTCTGTGCAACTGAGCATCTTTCATTCAAATAAACCAAATAAACTTTCGCTCTTCACGGCACAAACCAGGTTATCTTTAACGCACGCTGAATATTTATACAGCAGGTGGCTGGGGAGTCAGTCTCTGATCTCTAAGATGACTTGTCAAGCTGCTGAGGGGCTGCTGGTGTGCTGGGTTGGACTGAGATGAAGCCCCACAGGACATATTGTCTCCACATCGTGTCCTTTTTATTCCACTTAGGCAGAGGATTATGTTTTATGACACAGTCTGTAACAAGCACCAAGGAGGCGAGTCAGAGAGCGCTACACTGCAGGAACAATATGATGAAACTGCCATAATAACATCCAAAAATACTCCCAGCATACATCTCCTCTGCATCAAAAATTAGATCGGGGCTCTAAAAATAGAAACCACGTTCTGTGCTCACTCCATCTGTACATGCTACATGGAGGAATCTGAACAGTAGCCCAAGTAATCCCTCTTGCACCTCGGCTAAAAGGAAAACAGAAAATGCTCAAGGGTGTAAGAAACATCAACTTGAGCTTGATTTTATTTACTGAAGTGAATATTTACTGACTGCGTGAAAGATGCCCGCCTCATTAAAAGGTCAATAGATGATGTAAAAAAAAAAAAAACGAGGATCATCCTTTAATGGCAGCATTTACTTTAAGTCACTTATAATTCTTTTTAATTATTTTGAAATTCTGTTCTGGAGAAGTGAAGCTTCAACAGCTCTGCATGCATTCTCATACTTTATCCAGCAAAAGTGCAACAGTATGCATCTGTTGCCTGAAACTATTTTCTTTTTTTATAATTAAGGTGAAAGGGCAGTGTTTGTTTTGCCTGCGTCTGATTGGTAGCGTGTGTGTGTCTGTAACAAACTATCTCATGAGCCACTGCACAGATTTTAATGAAACTCTAAGTATTCATTGTGTGTACGTCTACACTCATTACTATTTGATGTCAACCCGAATTAAGATGGCCACCTCAGCTAATCAGCATTAGCCAACACAAAAACAATTATAATACGGTCAATTCTACACATATTAGGCTAACATCTGGCGTGATTGTAGCTGAGAATCATCCCTAACACATGCTCTTAGTGCCATCGCATCTTGCAGAATCTCAGAATGTTGCATGGGATTTACAAGGTTTGACCAAAACAAGTTCAGCTTCATCCTTTCTTAAAATAAGATGATTTTAGGTTCGATTTCTGGCATGAAAGGTGCCAGGTGATGTGCATTCCTTCAAGAAACGCGAGGTCTTTAATCTTTGGGTTGAATTCTTTCTGATGCATGACGCAGCTAAAGGAAAATGGTACGTTTGCCCTTTAAGACATCACTAATGTAGCTGATCAGAATTGCAACAGAAGACAAATGCATTAAACTTTTATTTTTTACGCAGCTGCACAAACTTGCAAGAAAGTCTCCAACAATAAATGAGCAATTCTCTTACAACATGGGGAAAGTTTCTGGGCAGTGGCGTTTCATTGTTGCAGCCACAAAGCTTGTCCCTGAACTGAGTGTTGGAGATTAGTGCTTTGGAGCACAAACAAACTGAAACAAAAGAACACGAGGAGGAGATTGGTTTCTTAAGCAAGGCAGGGAGAGAGCCTGCCTCTGACGTCCAAGGGTATCATAAACCTCAAGTGTGTGTCTGCACTACAATGCCAACAGGGGCACAAATTCTCCACACGCATGGGGAATCAATTTCACACAGAGAGGGGAAGGCTTGGAACGAGGCGTATCGCAGAAGCACTGAAATACTGCATCTTGTGTTATTGGATTTGCAGCCCAGTTTCTTTCTTTCTTTTCTTTTTTTTTTTTTTGAGCATCTGCAGACTGGGAGATCCAGTCAAGTGGAACTTCCCTGAGCCAGCACAGAAACCTGTGGCCAGCTGACGAAAAGCTTATAGCATACTGAAGTATGGACAAACTTTATAATCTGTAAGTTATAATAAAATGAAATAAACATTTCAAACAGCACTTGAGCCTTTCATTTAACTGATGAGAGGAGTTTAAAGTTGTAATTTTGAATGTGTTTCACTGCAAATAATCGAGAGGTGCCGCATGAACGCAGCTTAAAAATGATATTCTGTATATTTTGTTGCAGGATTAACAATGAAATGAAGATTAGGTTGACACAAATATCTGATTTGGTCCAAGTTACAGGAACGATAGAGCACAAAAGGCTGCTGGGATTATGAAATTTGTTTGTAGATTTTACTTTTTTGAATGGTAGAGCTTTAAATTACAGCAGCTGTATTTACTCACAGCTGCTCTCAAACATATTCCTAACTGAATTAAAAAATATCTATTGGTTTTATTTTAGTGCTTCCTGAAGGCCTGCAGAACAAAAACAGATTATAGTAGTTTTCATTTTCTTAAGTGAGATTTCTCTCATTTCACATCACCTTCATAATCATTAATTATATTTTAAAACATTTATAAAGCGTTGGAAGAGATTAATTCGTTTTTTTTTCCCCCACTTGTTCAAAATCTCTAGCTCTTTACGTACCTTTATCAAGCAGCCTCAAAAGCTGAAACGTTTCTCTTTTAGAGCTAATGACAACTATAATCATGCATTTGTTGCTATTAACAACTTTTGGTATTAAATAAATAAATAAATAAAAGAACCAATTTTGTGAACTGCAACCCAGAAAGGAAGAAGATAAATCTAATGGATGGATATTTTTTCAGCAAATGAAAAAAATATTCCCAAACGTGTCATAACTGTGATTTATTTAACAACTTACAGTTATTATTTTGTAAAACATGCCTACAAGCAGTTATATAAAACTGATTTCATTACTAGGAATGTCTTTTTTTATATATAAATTAAATACATAAATGAATAAATAAACGTTGCAGCTGACTGAACAAAAATAAGTGTGGTGAGTTCAAACAGCGGAAGAAAGGGTTGAACTTATGGAGAGCGGAAATAAAAAGATACTGATTGTTCCAAGTCCGTTCTACTGAACACAGAAAAGACACAACAGGTTTAAAATAATTCAAAATAAGAATAAAGATGAGAATAATAAATAATATAGATAATTCACATGCTGGGGATGAACATGTCATTCAATCCTTAAAGAAATGATGCTGAACCTGCGTTCATCAATGGTCCAGTAAAACAAACAAAACATTTTTACAGTAAATGCTTGTTGGCAATTAAATTTTAGACATTATTTTACCTTAATCCATAATCATCCTGCCACAGAGCAAAGAGCTACAAACATTATATTCAATAAAAAGATTTCAACTCAATTCATCTGAAACTTGCTGGTGGAAATTCAAATAAAAATGACTTCAAACTAGATTTTCCTGCAAAGCGGTTCTGTTTACAGCCACATGAGAATAATGGCTTCAAATTGTGAATCAGAGAGCTCAGAGGAGGTGCAAGGATGAATGTGTTGAGCATATAATTGCT